TTCCTGTATTTGGGCCTTTTTTATTTTAAAGATACAACGTGAAGAACAAATCCTGCAAATAAGACTCTTCAGTCCTAGGAAGGTCAGTGGAAGTGAAGACACCCAGGAGCCTCTTTGAGCTTGTTTCTTCCACTAAAACCAGCACAGTCATTTATTTTTAGGACTTTAAATTGTCTTGAGTTCTAATAGGCTAGATTCTATCACTCTCAATTACACAGAGTGGTCTATTATTTCATAAGCAAATTGGTCATGGCTACTGGTGGTTGTTTTTAGAAGAAGCAAAGTAAGAAAAACAAATATAACTCTATCTACATACAGAGGCAGGATTCTGGTGTCCTCGATGCACTCTTACTTCTATTAAGGTCATTGGGAACTTAAATATCAAGGGCTAAAAAGCTATCTTAGACATAATAATAGAATCAAAAATCACCAAGTTTGGAAAAGAACTCCAAGATCATACAGCCCAACCTTCTACCTACCACCAATATTTCCCACTAAAGTCTCAGCACAGCAGCGAAACATTTCTTGAATATCTCCAGGGACAGTAACCCCACCACCTCCCTGGGCGGCCCATCCCAGCACATGACCACTCTTTTGGAGAAGTTCTTCCTAATGTCCAAACTGAATTTCCCCTGCCTCAACTTGAGGCCATTCCCTCTAGTCCTATCACTAGTCACACAGGAGAAGAGGCCAACCCCCAACTCACCACAACCTCCCTTCAGGCAGTTGTAGAGATAATTAAGATCTGCCCTTATCATCCTCTTCTCCAGACTAAATAATCCCAGTTCCCTCAGCTGCTCCCCATAAGACTTGTGCTCCAGACCCCTCACCAGCTTTGTTGCACATCAAAGGTCCAGGACTTTGATGTCATTCTCGTAGGGAGGGGCCCAAAACTGAACACAGTACTCAAAATGTGGCCTCATCAGTGCTGAGTACAAAGGGATTATCACTTCCTTGCTCCTTCTGGAACACTATTTCTTATACAAGCCACAGTGCTATTGGTCTTCTTGGCCACCTGGGCACGCTGCTGGCTCATGATGACTAACACCCCCAGGTCCATTTCTTTACATGCTCTTCCAGCCACTCTGCCCCAAGCCTGTAGAATTACCTGAGGCTGTTGTGAGTAAAGTATAGGAGCCAGCACTCAATCTTGTTGAACTTCATCCTGTTGGCCTCATCTAAGCTATCCATTCCACCCAGATCCCTCTGTAGGGCTTTCCTACCATCAGGCAGATCAACACTTCCTGCCTACTTGGTGTCATCTGCAGACTTACTGAGGGTGCACTCAATGCTCTCATCCAGGTCATCAATAAAGATACTAAACACAACAGGTCCCAATACAGACTGCTGGGGAACAGCACTAATGGCACCTCACTAGCTGGATTTAACTCCATTCACCATCACTTTCTGGGCCTGACCCTCCAGCCAGTTCTTTACCCAGCAAAGAGTGTATAATCAATGAATGTACAGATGTTATAGTTATACCAAAGATTATGGCTAAGCAGTTATTATACCAAAACAGAATAGATAGAATACTTACCCATATCCTGGGCTTGCTATGAAACTCCATAGGAGGGAATCCCAAGAAGAGATCCTTCCCTGCTGGCAGTCAGCTCTTAAATGGGTCTAGGAGAGGTGGAGCCAGGCTCCACCCCTTCCGGCAGCACAGGTGAATTGCCTTCACCTATGCTCCCATGGCTGACTTATTGCTCGCCTCAGGTGATCAATCAGAGGTTCAGGCTGTGTCTCAGCAGTTCCCATACAAAGGAGTATACCTGTCCAAGCTATTGGCTGCCAGCTTCTGCAAGAGAATACTGTGGGAGACAGCGTCAAAGGCTTTGCTGAAGTCTAGGTAGACTACATCAAGAACCTTTCCTTCATCCACCAGGCTGGTCACTAGACTGTAGAAGGAGATCAGGTTGGTCAAGCAGGACCTGCCTTTCAGGAATCCATACTGGCTGAGCCTGACCTCCCTGTTGTCTCACTTGTGCCATGTGATCTCCCTCAAGATGACCTCATGACCTTTCCTGGCACCAAGGTCAGGCTCACAGGTTGACAGACCTGTAGTTCCTACTTCCCAAGATCTCTTAACAACACTTCTTGTAGATGGGAGTCATATTAGCAAGCCTCCAATCCTCTGGCATCTCTCTCATTGACCAGGAACACTGATAGATGGTGGAAAGTGGCTTGGCAATCACTCTGCTAGCTCCCTCTGCACTCTGGGGTGGATCCCATCTGGCCCAATGGACTTGTGGCAGTCCAGGTACAGTAGTAGGTTTCTGACTGTTTCCTCCTTAATCGTGGGGGATTTATTCTGCTCCCCATCTGAGACTTTCAGGTCAGGGGGAGGAGTATCCAGAGGATAACTGGTCTGATTTTTAAAGACAAATGTAAAGATGGCATTGAGAAATTCAGCCTTGTCATCATCCTCAGTGGTCACATTCCCTGCCACATCCAGTAAAGGATGATAAAGTAGATAATAAGGAAGTTTCTATTCAGAATGAATCAGAAGACTGATGTGTTACAAGAAAAGAGTTTATGAGGTCATTTGTAACTAGACATGGCTTGTATCACGAAGGTTGGAGCCAGTCTTTGAATATCCTGAAGTTAGATTTCAGGATATAAACATGCTTATGGAGCATTGAAGTAGCTGAAGAAACTAACCATAAGCAGGTAGAAGGGCAATGAAGAGCAATTGGCCTTCCCAGCTCTACAGCTGACACACAGATGGAGAACACAGCCAACGTAAGCAAGTAACAATGGATAATGAGGCACCAGTCCCATGACCTCCTGCTAACGCCTTCACATCTCACACTCTGAATGAGACTCAGAAAAGGCTCTCTGCTGACTGTTCAGATGCAGGCAGGGCTCTCCCTCATACCATGTGCTATGAAGCATTGCTGCCTTTCCTTCCTCTGTAGTGTGACCCAACATGAGATACGCTTTTGGCCAGCACATCAACTGGAATGATTTCTCAGCCAGAAAATAACCCACTGCCAGGACTCCTCTGTCATTGCAGCTGCTTGCCCCAATATTGTTAGGCACCTCTCTGTGGAACAGTGTTGTATGTAACGCAACTTCCTTTTGCCTTCTTTAAAAATCCACTCTACCCATTACACATCATTTATTCCTTTCCATAGTTTTCCCATATCATATGGGTTTATGCTGTACTCCCTTTCACCCATAAATTCTTTGGATCAGAGTGGTTTACAAGTTTGGCACAGATCTGGGTTGGTTCACAGTCTGCTCTGCACAGAATAATCCTGCAGACTCCTGAGTGTGTGCTTTCAATCAGATTAGCACATGGCCTCAAACAATGGCTATCCGTTCCTACATGAATGTCACTGAGCTGCTTCAGCCATTGCTTATTGTTAGAGTGAGTCAAGTCCCTTCCTGTCCTGTAATGTTGCAAGCACATTGGCAGAGAGCCACAGGCTGGAGATACATGCAGACTGCACTTAGTTTACTTGTATAACAATGTTTTCAGTACTTTTTCATTCTCTTACATAAAAACCTTGCAAAAGATCACTTTCCAGATAGCACAATGAACTGTGGAAGGTTCAGCACAGGTGTTTTTTTTCATTTTTAGGACAACTAAAAAGAAATACTTCTTATAAATATGTCTTCTATTGTATGCAAAAATCTCTTACTGGCTCTGGATTTTGCCTTGCCTTTGTGTCAGAACAATCAATAAACAATTACCTATTGCATAGACTTGTTTTCCAAGAAACAATTAAGTAATCATAAACCATAGCAGCAAGTGGTTCAAATGTGGATTGGATTCGGTTCCACAATTCTACTTATAATAGTTTTTCCAAGTGCAAATGGGACTTAGTGCAGTTTGTACGTGGATTTTCTTTCCACTGTCATCTATTTGTTATGAACAATTTGTAAATACCTGCTTCAAATGGCCCTCTAAGGATATCCATATATATTTGATGGAGGAGTCAAACAAATTTACCTACTCTACCTTCATAAAAGAACAAACTTACAGAGAATATATAGTAGTATTTCCATATTGAGAAATAGGTTGAATTAATTCCTGTTCTTCACTGCACTGAAAATTTATATTCCTTTTAGCTGTATATTTATGATAAACATGGAGTCGTGTGGTTTGGGATGCATACTGTGCAATTAAATACATTATTCACACCAGATCTATTACTACTGATCAAACAGGGCTAATATTTCTGAGCTGTTATTGATGGAATGTTGTTTTAGAAGGTCATTTTCAAGTAAAGTTGGTGATCACTATTTTCCAGTGCCTTGTGAAGTCCATCTGCGTCTCCACATAAGTAAATGTGTCTAAAAATCCAAAACAGACAGAAATTTATCTGCCCGATACAAATAGGAACTTCAAGAGAGGTCAATATGAAACTCACCATTCTTAGGACCTAAATCTGTCCATATATAAAATAAATTAAAATGAAGTAATATTAATATATAAAAAGGGCATTATGTGACTCACTATATATAAGTGATATATATAGTTTAAAATGTATTTCATGGAAGCCACCTGTCTTGCTGTCTCCAAGATATCTGGGTCTGAGCTGGGTGAAAGCGAGCTCTTTAAACATTCCAATCGACTGTAGATTCTGTAGATTTGAAAGTGCACACTCAATGCATCATGTCTAAAAATGCTGGTTCATTTTCTTCATTTGGTGTTTTAAACCGGAATGAGCAATACCTGTTATCCTCCAGTCTCATCCTTCCAGCAACGCAGAACAGAACACGAGTAGCCACATAGCACTTAGCAAAGAACAACTGGCACAAATGTCAACGTTTGTCTGCACGGTGCCACCACTGCCGACAAACGCCATCTGAACGCCCTGCAGTGTCTGTGGCTGTTCCCTACAAAACATGATTCTGAAGGCACTCAGCAGCAGCTGCCTGCTCTTTCCAACACAGTACATCTGGAGATCTTCAAATCGTCAGTGACTGACCACATGTAAAGTGCAGCAAAAGATTCTTAGGTCCATCCTCACTCTGGTGTTCCTTTGTTAATTGACACAATTCTTTGTCATCCTTCTGTCACTGGGTCTGTTGTTTTTTGAGACATTAATGGTGACTTCTTTCGTTGACATTTTCTGTGTGTCCCGTTTACTCTGTGAAAGTTTTAAACAGTACAGTCAGTAGTAATACAGTGAGTGGACAGAGCCATTGACAACTGCCTTCTAATTTATGGAGATGGCTCTAATTAATGAAAGACCTCAGCGTTCTCTTCACAATGCAGTGACATGAAGCAACTTTCTTATGCAACAGAGACGTAAACTTTTAGCTGCCTTAACGGCTGTGGATATCACTAGGCTTTGGATCAACCCTTTTGGTTATCATTAGCATTTCCATATGCGTGTATTCTGAAAGTGCAGCAAATCTTTTTTGAGTTCAAAAGTGAAAATTAGGGCTTCCTTTGAATGTCACTTGGAAACAAGTGTAATTAGCCTAAAACAGAATTTTCTCTAGTGTCTCTTAGATTTCATAAATCAAAACATGGTTTCAAAATAACACTTATTTCTGCATATATTTAAGACATATGTACTTGCATGTAAGACCTCTATATACCTTCCAGAACTTTATCAGCTTATTTCCAAATATTCAGGAAAGTCCATCTGTCTGGGGCATGCAAGTGCAGTCCTAATTTAAACTAACCCTTCTTCATGTCTTAGTTTGTCTGCTTGTTTCCATAAACAACGTGCAATAAATCAGATAAGTGTAGCAAAGGACATTCATAACCAGACAGATATAAACAGAGAATGGAGATAGGTGTTTTTGACAATTGCTCTTCCAATGTTCCATGACACAATTTGCAAATGTAGATAATGCCAAGTAAATGGAGTGTAATTTGCTTGGTAATAATGTTAGAGGAAATAATAATAATGTTAGAGGTAAACTTCCACTGACATGAATGGAAAGTATGCATCTGTCTGAGAGCAAAACCTGGGACTCTCATAGACCAGCACATATTACTTCTCATGTACGCAAGCTGAAGACACCTGCTCCTTTCCTGTCTGCTCTCCCAGTGCTCTCTCACACAATGATTCTCCAAATGCTACATATATCACAAACATCAAGTAGGTTATTGTCAGACAGTGACATAACCTGGACTCCACCTTTGTTTTTGAGGTTGATGGACCTTCACTGTTACTAGGACTGCTTTCATCAGCGAAATCTTTTACTTCCAAGCCATCTTTACAGTATGGTTTCACAGAATGCCAGGCTGGTTGATTCCGTTCAGAGCTGGGTGCCGAGAACCATGTCCTGCCATTACCCTCATGAGAGAATACTAAGTTTTCCCAGACACAGCCCACATCATATTCCCTGCCTTTCAACACCACAAATTGAACTTGTCGTGTGAACAACAGTATAGATAAAGAAGTGGAGGCTGTAGAGCATGACGCCTAAGAGAATGGGACAGAGGAAAAGCAATTTACCCCACAAGCCAGTGGGACAACCCAAATCTCCTGTGAGCAGCATGTGCAGCATCACATTGCTTTCTACAGCGTTTAGGAATAATAGGAAAAGTGCTGTCAATGTGACTACTCAGATGAATGAAATGGGCACATTTTGAGTTGAAGGGGTGGAAATAGTCACCTTCTATCCACCAGGCATCTAAACTTTGGGTATCTGAATTGGAAACCTATTATCTTATGCTTCTCTAAATACTCAAGAAATTGAGATTCAGAATGGCAATTCAGAGCTGGAGCCTGATGCATGTAATATGCCTTGCAAACTGTAGGAATTTGCATTTCCTTTTTGGCTGTAAGAAATTTAGGCAAATTATCTTCCTTTCTTAGATGCATATATTTACATATGTAGAATAATGTTAACACCTTACTAAAAGTGCTACAAGCACTAACTGATGCTAGGGTTCAATAATACAAATACCTTACTGAGTGTATCTTAACTAGAAAAAGGTGGGAGGGTGCATTCAAAGCCATGAAGTTCCAGGTCAGGAACCTACACTTTGCTAAGCCCAATTATAGTGAACATTCACACTGTTAATATGTTGTGGAAGTTTGCCCATATTTCCTAGTAAGTCTAAATTTTTCAGTTGCTTGCAAAATGAAAAAAATGTCTTCCCTAGCAATATGTCAGATATACACCATAATTCTCAAGTGAGGCCAAGTCTCTTTCAAAATGGATTAATAAAGATGTCAATTGTGTTCAGCCACTTTCAGACCGACCAATTGATTTTTATCTGTGGGCCAATGTTTATGACAGGCGTTTATGTTTTTTCTTCACAGCAACCTGTGGTCTAGATGTCGTGCTGATGTATGACATGTACCTCTATTTATGGAGCTGTGGCAAGCAGCAGGATTCGTGTCACTGGGAAATGCTTCTGCTCTACAGAAGCGCAGCAGGTAAAACAGTGAAGGTTTAAGATAAGCACAAAGGAACCAATCCAGTGTTTGTTAAAAAATCCAAGATAGAGTTTAACATAGACTGTGTTTTCCATTTGCTTGGACCTCAAAGCCTTGCTTTTTCTTGCATGGTCATTACACCGGATGATCCTTCTACAAAGCTTACAATAAGTGAAGAGAGAAACAGGCAAGATCTGATCCAAAACCTAGGGACATTGCTGAAAGGACTCCCATCGCCTTCTTCAGACTTTGCATTCAGCCATGAATGAACCATGCAGCACACACAATTTCAGCAAAGCAGTAATGAAGGAAAAGCACATTCCCTTTCAGATTATTGGTCCAAACAATTTGCACAAGACATGACGCAGAGGAACTGAGCTGAAAAACAATATGCTTTTTCTCTTTTTTTTTTTGCCATAACAACTGCTAAATTAATCACCAATTCTGAGGCCATTCAGGCATGAGACATCACCAGAGATGCTGGGCCTAATCACGCTCTGGTGTGGTGCAGTCTTTGTACCTCATCCCATTTTAACTGCGACCAGGAGGATTATCACAAAAGTGATGCTGACTCAGCTGAGGCCAGAGCCCAGCAGCAGGCACACAGCTGCACTCTCACCTCTGCTGCTCGGAAGCTGCTCTGCCGTGGTGGCCCAGCTCCAGCGGTGTTCACGCACTGGGCCCCACTGATGGTCCTCTTCTCAGTGCTCAGAATCCCTGTGGTGGCTGGCGTTGAGGTTCCTCCCGTCTGAGTTGATTTGCCATCCTCCAGAATACCTAGTGAGGATATGGAAAATTGTCAATTAGTTCTGAGCAGTGATTGGTAACTGTGGCTTCTTCCTATTTCACCCCTTTTTGTGACAGTACAAGCCAGAGAAGGCACTTCATGGTACTATGGTGAGAGCATCCTACCTCTTCCTGTAGCTTTATAGTTACATTTTGGATTACTTGCCCTTTCTCCTATAGTTCACCATGGTACATTGGCTCAGAAAAGATGGAAAATGAGTTAATGAGTGTAGTACATTGGTTGCAGCTCCCCATCTGCTTCAAACATTGCGACTTCCCACACACAGCAGTCTGCATGACTGAGGGTTTGTCTCAGGACCCGGAGGCAAGCATCAGAGAGAGCTCCCCTTAAAGCTCTTTCACTCACAGTAAATGTAGAGCTTAGAAGTGACCATAACAGATGCAACCAATATGGATGGGAAGATTACTCTATTTCTGGCCTCCTTTTTTTTTAGCCATAATTGGAGGAAAAAAACTCAGGGAAAATACATTTCATACTCTTTTGAATATCAGTAATCAAATAAATGACTAATTTACATTCTGCTCTAGCTGAGTGGAGAAGACAGGCATTGTACAGTATGATACTGACCAGCCTAAAAGAATTTTCTCATTTTATTGCATTAACAAAAATCAGTTCTCATTTATGGGGAGTGAGAGCACTGCGTCTGGCTACGACACCAGTTCTGAAATCCAAACGCAAATTGCAAGTGAGATGTATGACTGTAGCTCTTTATTTTATTTCCAACAAAGCTTGTTTATGAAGAGCCTTATCAGAATAAAGTTAACAAGAAAAACTGACATATAGATTTACTAACTGGCAGTGCAGATATCAAAACTGAAGAAGCAAGGAGTAACAGATTCTAAGGGAAAAATACATGTGAGGAAAACCCAGGACAACTCGTTGCTACTTGAAGTGTGCATTGCATCACAATCATGTGCATTCTGCCATGAATCAGGTGGGAATCCAAGCACAGTATTAAGAATATTGAAAGTGAAGCAAAGTAAAGCCTGAATTATTCCCCAGAGATCTGTCAGAAAAGCTGCTTTATCAATAGAAAGCAACATTGCTTTCAAAGGCAATGACCGAAATCAGTGAAGCTTCACCCAAATATCCAAAGTCGTGGTTTTGAAAATATGTAAAGCTGCGTAAGATTTATGAAGCCTAAATCACTTCCCTATGCAGTCTTGCCATTGCACTTCCCTAAGCAGTCAGAAGATGGTGTTAGAGTTTTCCTAGGACAGCTTAATTTGTGGTGGTTACTGAGAATAATGCTAAATTGTCTTTTTTGATAGAAAAAAAATACTGATTTGAAACTTGAAAATGTTACAGTTAATTTATGAAATTAAAAAAAAACCTTGCATTTTGAAGCTGTATTCTGCTGCTAGGTATAAAAACTAATGCTGTTCTTACATATCTACAGGTCACTTCTCAGAGACCTTAAGCCAGTCACTTCTCAGAGACCAGTAAGCCATGTCTTCTGCATCTCCAGAAAGTCCATCTCAACTTGAACTTTAGGTCCTACGTCTTCTTCCTATCACTCCACAGTGCACAATGAGAGAGAAGAGTGTCATGAAGCAGTACAGACTGATGCAACACAGAAAATCAGTTTTTAAGAAGGAGAGGCCAGTAGCTAAGCCTGAGTATGAGCTCTAAACCATGGCATAGTTTGTTTAGTCACCTTCCAGTGGAGCTCTGTGAACAAGCTGAAGCACAGCTGTGAACAGGCAAAATGCGCTGGGCATTCCCTACTAATTTCATTAATTGAATCTTGGACATTTTAAGCATATATGATGCTTAAAATATATAGCATATATGATGTTTTGAGATTTTCATTCTATGGAATTACCTTACTGAATTACTTCCCACCATGTGTCTCTTTGTCTACCTGGCCTCTAAGTAAGTTGTCTTGTGAAACAGCTGTTCACTGAACAGTAGCTTTGTTATTAGGCACAGTTTATGTCTTCTGGTGTCTATAGAACAACTTTTCTTACATCAGTACATTTTTGGAGGCTGATGGAAGATCTCAACCCTGCAGATGGTGTACATGGTTCCTTTTGTGTCCTCTGCTTGTCTGCAATCCAATTCTCATCTTTTGCAATGTTAAGACATCAGAAGTGAATGAGGTATCAGCATCTGAGTCTTCCACTGCCACTCACTGTATATTTATGAAGGTGACCTCATGGTCAGGAATACTAGATGATCTCACTTGTGCAGCAAGCTTTCTTATTTTATTCTGAAAGATGATTGTTGTTCTGAAGTTAAGAAACTCCAGACTGCAAACCAGAGATGATGTTACAGAAAAGATAGGAGCAGATTGTTGCTTTTTAAATAGAAACTATTTTGCATTGCTATTTGGGGTTAGTCACAGTACACAGAAAGGGAAGGGCTGACTTTCTTCTCCTGCACAGTCTGGAATTTGCAACCTAACAGGCTGGTAATACTCAGCCCTGCCTCAGTGTCGTTTAAAGCAAGTTAACTGTCTGGTTACTGATATCAGCCCCACAGTACGGGTTCAGTAAATATCCTTCACAGACTTTCACTGTAGAGCTTTAGTAGAAATATAACTGAATGGGCTCAGTAGTGTTACTTCTCTCCTACAGTCTGTCAGGACAACCCCTGCCAGAACTCTGTGGGCCTCCTGAGCCCAAGGAAAATAGTAGATCCCATCACAATGCTCTGACAACTCCACTTTTTTTAACTTCACATGAACTGGCAAGTCTAGAATATTCTTCTGTCTCTGCTCCCAAAATCAGGGTTTCTGAGTGGTTATCAAATCTCCATCTTCTCCTCAGGAATGACAAACAGTGTTTGGTCCCCTTGATGGCTGCAGGGAGAGCACACACCAAGCAGCCCCAGAAATCCTAATCTCACTTTGCAGTGAGAACTGCACTTAGAAGGAGTTGTTTTCCTCCAGCAATAGGACAGTTTCAACTGGCCTTCTAGGCTGCACAGGCAAATAAATGCTTGTATTTCTTAGCAATTCTGATGAAATCTTTTAGACTGTAGTTCGACAAACACCTCTTTCAGTAGCATCAAGGGAAAAAAAAAGAGCTTATTTTTAACTGAACTCAATCCCCAGGCTTCATCATCCAGTGACGCAGGTGGTAGCCTTGGCACAGCTTAGATGGTAATGCAGAAAGCAGAGAACAGCTGGAGCTGGGATGGTCACACACAGCTGAGCCCACTTGCCCAGCTACACCTTCTTCTCACAGAGCTGCCTTGCTGGGCTACCTTAGTCCTTCAGAGGTGTGTTCATGTTGTTCCAAACTATCCCAGAATCAGGAGACGCATATTTACTTCATCCAGTCAGCATGGATTCACCAAAAACACTTGGTATGTAACAGGAGAAAGCATCCCAAAACTCCTAAAGTTGGCTGGTGTGGAGAAGGGACATGACAGACTGCTTACACAAGTCTGGTGGTTTAGACCAAATTATCTTCAAATAATCTCTTTTTTTGTTATCTATGAATTCAGAATTTGAATAATTTTGGAATAAAAAATTGCACGTTTCTGCTTTTTTGTTTTATTTTCCAATTAGAATATTGGCATAAAATACTGTTTGAACTTTCACAAATATGACAGTTTAGAAAAATTTGGATGGAGTCAAAAATCAACTTCAGTTATTTAATGTGTCACATAAAAATTGAAATTGGTCTCAATGATATCTGTGCATCTTCCAAGTGTTCTACAACTTAAAAGAAGGGTATTTAAGAGCAATTTCAAGAGCTGTATGAATATGGAGTGAACAAAGAGATACCTGAAATGAAAGGTGTCTCAATAGAAGCACAAAGACCGGTGATGTAGGAAAATTTGTCTGAAATATATATCCTACATGAAGAACAGAAGGCCTATTGAAGGTAATATAAACTCGTAGAGCAGGACAAAGGAGAGAGAACGCCATACTTCTCTCACTATCAATGCAAAAATTCAATGGTCTTTTCAGGCAGGCTCATATAAGCAATTGCTTATAATGCTTATATTGCTTATATAAGCAATATACACATTCTTTATACCAAATAAATAAAATTAGCCCTCCAAGAACCACTGCTGCTCATACTTAATAGTTTTTCAAAGCTCAGAGTATTCAGAGTCATAGTAGGAAGCAGAGTGTTTCCAGTCTTCATGGGATAACTGCCTACATTCTTCACTGTAAGTAATGAAAAAATCAACATGTGCAAGCAAAGGTCAGAATTAGTTTTTAGAAGGGAGAGTCTGTAAGCTTCATTCTGTTACCTTAGTTCTACCCCAGCTCTAAATCTCGCTTTGCTACCATATAGCAAATAACCAATATTGCTACCAAGTAGCAATAACCATTGCTACTATCATCAAGCTCCTTAGTATTTCAGACTTTGAAGTCATGGATTAGAGAGGGACAGGACACTGCTAATGTTGCCAAGAAATTTGGAAGGGGTTTGAAGCCTTGTAGAACAGAGCTAAGTTAATCTTAGCCGTAAGGCTCAGAACTTTGAGAATAAATGATTTCCCATATGTTTCTCACGTTGTTCTCCTCCCTGGAGTCAGAGGATCAGGTGGTGGCAACAGCTGGACACAAATCTGACCGCAGTGCGCTGCAGGTCTAACCCAGCACTTTGCACCCTCTGCTGTCCTGTGGCACAGTCGTGAACAAAAAGCATGGGATTGTTCAATGGTCACATTGTCACAAGTCAGTCAATGCAACTGACTCAGCCAAACCAGTAAGGTTGCACTTTCTGGTTCAGCAGCGCCTTTCTTTTTGTTTGCTTATCACGGCTGTTATCTCCTGAATAATGCATAAGATACCGGTTTGCAAAATGCCTGCATCATGTGATAGCCAGGCACACTGCACTGTAAAGACTCAGAAAGCGCGCAGTAAAGAAGACTGAACACTGCTACCACAACATGCAGCTGCTTCCAGAGAAAATAGGTATTTGGTATCATCACTGAGTTCCTTGCTTTTAATGACACACAGATGGAAAATAAGTATACAGAACACTGAAATACCTGTCTTCTA